GTCTGGTATATATCGCCTCAGGATCAGATCTCACTGCTCTTTAAGGAAACAGTTGTTGTGGCCTGCTTAATTACTTTTCCATTTCATAGAGTTAATATCACTTGTTTTAGATCAACATCCCCCTTTCTGTGAAAGGAAGGATAATTTTGGAGACCATTGAAGGAATGTGCTACTTACATGGAGAAGGTGTAATACACAAGGACCTAAAACCTGAGAATATTCTCGTTGATAATGACTTTCACATTAAGGTAAACCACAATCTATAAGCTTTTAGAAGAGTGCGATCATTTTAATTTTAAATATAATTTTAATTCTGTTTAAATGGGTTACATGTAAATCCATTTTATAGATGGTAAATGATAAAGGAAGACCAAGTTCAGCTTATAATTGGTGGTGGTGGTAATGCTGAAAAGCCCTTCCAGGGTTTGGAAAGAAAGATACAGACTATATGGAGTTGGGAGGTAACTCTAAGGACAGAGTTACATCTTCTGGGGAGGAGTAGAATTGAATGTTTCCTAGATTTTTTTCCTCCTCTATTAGAGACTTAGAAATAGAAATGTGCAAGGATTGCCTTGTTTACCTCTAATTGGGTTATTTACTTCATCATTTTCTCCAGGAAATCTGTGTGACTAACACCTTTCTTCTCTGGAAGTGAGGAGGAGTGTGAAGGTCTGTGCAGAAAAATCCTTAGTATTCAAAGATGGCCTGAGAGTTAGATCAGCAGTGAGTTGGCCACTTTGTCATAAAAACATCTACTTTTTTGAGAAAGAGATAGTCTTTTTAACAAATTGTACCGGAAAAACTGGATATCCATTTGCAGAAAAATGAAAGAAGATCCATACCTCACACCATATACAAAAACTAACTCAAGATGGATTGGATACCTAAATGTAAAACCTAAAACCATAAAGATCATTACATAAAAAATAGAGACAAACGTAGGGGCCCTAATACATGGGATAAATATAATTGAACATAATTAAAAATTCACAAATAGCAGAAAACAAAGTAGATGACTAAAAATTAAACATTTATGTGCATCAGACGTTTTCATCAAAAAAGTAAAAAGAGAACCCACTGACTAAGAAAGAAATTTTGACAACAACATATTGGACAAGGGACTGATCTCTGAAATTTATAGAAAATTGCAACCTCAACAACAAAAAAGACAGTCTAATTAAAAAATGGCAGAGGACATGAACAGACACTTCACTAAAGACATTCGGTCAGCTAACAAACACATGAAGAAATGCTTGCAATTTTAGCCATTGTTATTAGGTGCAGTTGAGTAGGCTCCAACTCATAGTGACCCTTTGTACAACAGAACAAAATATTGCCTGGTCTTGCACCATCCTCACAAACTATGCTGTGTTTGAGATTATTGTTGCGGCCACTGTGTCAGTCCATCTTGTTGAAGGTCTTCCCCTTTTTCTCTGACCCTCTGTCTTACCCAGTCTGATATCCTTCTCCAGGGACTGGCCCCTTCTGACACATGACCAAAGTATGAGAGATGAGTCTGGCTATTCTTGTTTGCAAAGAACAGTCTGGCTATACTTCCTCCAAGACAAATTTGTTCATTCTTGTAGTAGTCCATGGTACCTTCAATATTCTTCGCCAACACCACAATTCAGAAGTATCAATTCCTTGGTAGTCTTCTTTATTCACTGTCTAGCTCTAATATACATATGAAGCTACTGAAAATACCATGGTTTGGGTCAGGCACACCATAGTCTTTAAAGTGACATCCTTGTTCTTAAATGCTTTAAAGAGGTCTTTTGCAGCAGATTTGCCCAGTGTAGTAGTACATCATTTGATTTCTTGACTCCTACTTCCAGGGATGTTGATTGTGGATCCAAGCCATTAGAGAGATGCAAATCAAAACAACAATGAAAATGCCATCTTACCCCAGCATTAATAGCAAAGTTAAAAAAAACAAAAACAAAAACAGATAATAACAAATGTTGGCAAGGGTGTGAAGAGACTGAAACCTTCATACACTGCTGGTGGAAGTGTAAAATGGTACAATCGTTGTGGAAAACATTATGGCACTTCCTTAAAAAGTTGGAAATAGAAATAACATGTGATCTAGCAGTCCTACTACTGGTGTATATACTACAGAGATAAGAGCTATGACACAAATAGATATATGCACATCTGTGTTCATCATAACAGTCTTCACCATAGCAAAAAGATGGAAACAACCTAAATGCCCATCAGTGGATGAATGGATAAACAAATCATGGTACATACACATAATGGAATGTGGTACAGCATTAAAAGATAATGATGAATCTGTGAAACACCTCATATTATGGAGCACATTATATTGAGTGAAATTGGTCAATCATTAAAGGACAAAATTGTGTGAAATCCATATTATAAAAAGTCAAGAAAAAGTTTTCACATAGAAAGAAACATTCTTTGATGGTTACCAGGGTGGCAAGGGAAGGATGGGTAAATCACTAACTAGAGGGTAGACACATACTAACTTGAGTGAAGGGAAGGCAATATAAAATAAGGCAGAGGTCAGCACAAAATTATTAAGGCAAAGGAAGACACTGGGAGGAGCACAAGAGTTAAAGGCAACAGATAAATACTATAACATACACTAATGTGCAGTAACAGTAACAACAATAATCTATGAGTGGCTACATATTTAGACATGCAACCTGAGCAGATATGGGAAGGTGAATTAGACTACTCCCATGAAAAACAAAACTTCTGTGAAAATTGGCTGCATTTGTATTTATTTACTTCCATATGTATATGTGTGTTTGTGTGTGTGTGTGTGTATGTGTATGTATATGTATCACCAAATCCACTGCCAGTGAGTTGATTCCAACTCATAAAACCCCCATAGGGTTTCCAAGGCTGTAAATCTTTATGGAAGTTGATCGCCTCATCTTTCTCCTCCAGAGCAGCTGGTGGGTTTGAACTGCCAACCTTCTGGTTAACAGCCAGATGCCTTACCCACTGCATCACCAGTATATATGTATATGTATATATATGTATATATGTATATATATATATATATATATATATATACACACACACAAGGAGCTCTGGTGGCATAGTGGATAAAGCATTTGGCTCCAAACCAGAAGGTCAGCAGTTCAGACTCACCAGTTGCTCTACAGAAGACAGATGGAGCAATCTCCTTTCGTAGAGATTTACAGCCTCAGAAACCCAGTGGGGGTTGCTGTGAGTCAGAATGGACTCGATGGCAGTGAGTTTTTGTTACATATATATACACACAGGTTATATATATATATAAATCAATTTCCTTTGGAAAACTTAAGCTCCTTCTGTTGGAGTACAGGGAACAAGAAAAGGGGAATTTTCTTTTGTTCACTCAAGGACAATATTTAACTAGGGAGAGCATCATATCCAATTGTATTTGGCTGCAGTAATCAGGCTTAAGAATATGAAAGGGTAGATGCATCCCAGAAGGACTCAGGAGCTTTGTATTATGTCATTCTCTGCCAGAAGATTTTGCTTCTAACTCTGTTCTTGTCTCGAAGGGATTTTTATCCTTGAGTCTATATAGAGAGGTTCTTTGTTTACATTAATAACTTTTATGTTTTAGGGTGAATTTAGGTTGAATAGCCCCATTACAGATTTTAGATAATCACATGCCAAAATTCATCCCCCAATGCTTGCTAGGACCCCTAGAGGTAAAGGTAGAACTGTCACCTTTGATTTCTTAACTGTGGTGTTCTGTCATTTTGCTCTACCATCTCCTTCTTTGTTTTGTGAATGATTTTGTTGTTTCTCTCTCTGCTGTTTTTTATGTTTTTTCTCCTCCTTTCTATCTTTTCTTCTCTTAGGTACAGACTTTCAGCTCCAAACAAGTAGCACCACAGTCCTTATCCTCAGTGTGTCTTTAGAATCCTTGGAAACTCATAACCATGGGCTTATCTCTGGACATCACTTGAGAAAATAGAAGGTGCAGTACTCAGTCACTATTTGCTACATAAATGGGGTATCTGCTAAGGAGCTCTGGTAGCATAGTGCCTAAGGCACTTGACTGCTCACCAGAAGGCTGGCGGTTCAAACCCACCAGCCACTCCTCAGAAGGAAGGTTGGGCAATCCTACTTCCGTAGTGATACTGCCTCGGAAACCCAAGGAGGGGTCGCTATGAGTCGGGGCTGACTCGACGGCAAACAACAACAGCAGCTAAGAATAAAATACTTATTTTTTCCTAGCTCCCGAAAAACCTAACCCAACCTAGTGCCATCAAGTTGATTGTGACTCACAGAGACCCCATAGGACAGAGAAGAACTGCCCCGTAGGGTTTCCAAGGCTCAATCTTTATGAAAGCACACTGCCATATCTTTCTCCCACCAAGCAGCTGGTGGGCCTCACCAGAGCTTTTGGTTAGCAGCCGAATACCTTAGCCACTGTACCACCAGAGCTGAATAACATAGGCAGAGTAAATGGGGAATTAGAATAAATATATTTTATTGCTGTTCATGCCAGAAATGTCTTTTGCTTTTCTCTTCTCTTGCCACAGTGAATACCATGCCCTTATTGCTTAAGAATTAAGATACTAGAATTTCACATGGACATTTTGGGAGGAGGAAGAGATTTTCCAGATGGCTTAGAAGACACAAAGTTTCTTTGAATCTGTGATTGGCAGTCATTTTACATTTAAAACAGAAGTGGTTTTAAACCTGTCCAGTGCAACTCTTCCTGGAAAATACACTGTAACTCACATCTATTGGATAAGGTTCAAAATTTAAAACCAAATCTAATTTTCTTATAGCCTTCACAGAACAGTCCCATTGGTTTGATTTCTTTTGCAGATAGCTGATCTTGGTGTTGCGTCCTTTAAGACGTGGAGTAAACTTACTAAAGAGGAACATAATGAGCAGAGGAAAATGAATAATACCTCCAAGAAAAATGGTGGAACCCTTTGCTACATGGCCCCTGAGCATCTGAATGATGTCAACGCAAAGCCTACAGAGAAATCAGATGTGTACAGCTTTGCTGTAGTACTTTGGGCAATTTTTGCTAATAAGGAGCCATATGAAAGTAAGACATTTGTAGAGGAGTGGGATTTGGATATTAATCAAGATTGCTGAAATAATGACTTAGATGTAATCAATTAAGATAACAGAGTTCTTTGTTCATCCTTTTAATGTCTGTCTTACTGTGCTGTAAGCTCCACAAAGGCTGGAACCCATCTGATTTACTCACTGCTCTTTCCTCAGCACCTACATACACAGTGCCTGGAACATAGTAGGTACTCAGTACATACTTGTTGAATGAATGTGTAATAAACATTTAGGAATTGAGGATGACAGGATCAATAGGAACCTTGATAGTACAGCTAACTTAGAAGGTGCCATAAAGTTCCAGGATTCTCTCTGGACAGGAAAGCTTGCCTACTGCTGCTTATGAGAACTCACATTTCCAAGCTATTAGGTATAAACATCATACTTTTCTTCACTCACTTACTCCTTCATTTAAGTTTTTCTTTTTCTCCCCTAGTACTTACTCTGGGCACTTTGATAGGTATTAGGAGTAAAAAGGTGAATAAGACATGATTCTTACAGGAGAATGGATATATAAATAATCATTCTTTAATTTTCTAAGTATCTAAACTAATGGACATTTTCCTACATATTCTTAGGTGGTTTTTGTCAACTCCCATGGTTTAATGATCATCCTTTTGCTGACAATTCTCAGATCTCTAACTCTGTCTCTAACCTGGATATCTAATTGTCTATAAGTAAGATCCACTATTTGTACCCAAGGAACTTCCAAAGCAACAGTCATCTCAAAAATCTTATCTCCTAATATTCTCCCTGTAGTCCACCCCGATTTGCTCCTCATCTGATGTTCAGAAAACAGCATCATCATGCACCCACTTAGTTGCCCAACCAAAAACCTTAGAGTCATCCCAGACTCAGCCTTGTCCCTTCTCTCCCACGTCTAATCAGACATCAAAACTATCAATTCTCTATATAGGATCCAAAGTCTGTTTTGAATGTACCCATTTCCCTCTATCTCCAGTGGCCTATTTTTAGTTCAAACCTTCCTTAGTTCTGCTGCAGGCTCCTTGTTAGTCTCGTTTTGTCCTCATCTAGCTCATCTGTTATCCTGTAGCCAGCACAATTGTCCCAGAACAACCAATTCACTCACCTATTTACAGTCCTTCAGAGACTCCCAGGACCTTCAGGATAACATTCAGATTTCTCAGTATGGACTACAAAGCCCTTTATAATCTGTTCTTTCCTTCTCTCTCTAGCTTTATCCCTTCCCATTATGTCCTTTGTCAGTATGCCCAGTTTTACTTTTATTTATGGGACACATCATGAATTATATAACTTCCAATCTGTTCATATTCTGCTCCCCTAACCTGGAATCCTCATCCAAGCCCTCTTTTCCCATTCTTTGCCTAGATAGATCCGACATATTTTTTCTGAACTCAACACAGCTTTTTCTGAGCTTCCTGTCCTGATTATGTTACCAGAGCCCTTGTAGTTACTTCTTTCATAGAATTACCATTCTATATTTTAAGTCATTCTCATTAAATTGAGTTCCTTAAAGACAAGCACTGTATTGCATTTGTCTTTGTTTTAAAATCTAGAGTGTGCCTTTGAGTTTACTCTGTTTGTGCTACCAGGAAGACGCTTTGTTTCTAATTCTTTATGTACAGATATTAAAATGTTGTCTGATCATCTTTACAAAGGAATATGTGAACTTTTTGTCACAAGTCCATTCTGCCGCTGCTGAATGAGGCTGCAGCTTTTTCAAAGTTCTTTCATTTTCCTGTCTGAGATAGGAACAGGACCTGAAAGAAAGTCTCAGCTTAAGCTCTTCTTTGCCTCCTTATAGATGCGATCTGTGAGCAGCAGTTGATATTATGCATTAAATCTGGGAACAGACCAAGTGTGGAAGACATCACTGAATACTGCCCAGAGGAGATTATTAGCCTCATGAAGCGTTGCTGGGAGGCAAACCCCCAAGTACGGCCAACATTTGCTGGTAAGAGCATCTATTACAACTGTGTAGAATGTATCCCTCCTAAATGGTGAGTTTCCAAGTAAGATGTCAGGAATAACATCTGGTTTTGGTCTTCTGAAAACTGAGTTCCACCTTACTCATGGCTTCAAATATTTTATGCAATGAAAAGATGCCATCCCTCTCAGAAGCTTAAAGACTAGACAAATGGATATTTTGCTATACTTTTTTGTTGGATGGGCCTTCTTTTTTTTTTTTTAAACCTTCTTTTGTTTTCTTTCCTTCCACTTATTTATCTGGTGTCTTTGTGGATGTGTTTAGATTTAGATTGGATCCCATAGTAGAGGGAGAAAGACACAAATATTGGCCACACCCAAGCACCTCTTCTTCATTCCTGTATATTACCTAGGGATCTTGTGGAGGGTATGGTTAAAAGAAGAAAATCAACTGAGAAAAAAAGAAACAGTAGGAAGTGACTAAAGCACTTACTGCCATCGTATTTCTGCTTTGAGAAAACAGAATTAAAGCACCAAAGAATTCCAGGGCTACTATGATTTAGCTACCTGTTTTCTTATGTACTCAGTCAGCCTTAATCTTTTAGTTCTTCTCTTTTCTAATGCCTTTTTCTTTTTCTTTTTTTTCTGTGTACATCCCTTGTCAGATGAAATAACATCATGAAAATGTGAATTTCGTGCACAATTGAAATGTCACTGGGGATGGCACCTTTTATATATATATATATATGTATATATATGTATATATATATATAACTTTTATTGTGATTTGAGTGAAAGTTTACAGAGCAAATTCATTTTCCATACAGCATTCAGGTCATATTTTGTCTCATGACATTGACTGCAGTTCCCCACAGTGTAACAGTTGTTTTCTCACTTCCTCGCCATAGTTAGCTCTTCCCTGTGTCCTTCCCTCCCATGTATACTCCCCACCACAGGCTGTCTCCCTGTGCATACACTGCTCTTCTGTTCTCCCATGATTGATTGTTCCAAGTAGTGTATCTACCTTATGTAAATGTTCACTCCATATGCCTGTCAGTTGTTTGGCTGGAAGCCACAGGACTGAGTTCAATTCCAGACCTGAAGGGTAACTAGGGGGCCATTGTCTCATGGGTCTCACCAGGGTCTGTTAGCAAACCTGGTCTTTTTTTATGATTTTGAATTTCATTCCACGTTGTTCTCCCACTCTATTCAGGATCTCCTGCATTGATCCTTTTCTGAGTGGTTGCCAGGGACCATCTAGTTTTCTGCTCTCATGGTCATATAGGCTAAAGAGCACATGGTCTACCAATCCCTTAGATTATTTCCATGCATCTTTGGGTTTCTTCATTGTTCTTTTCTAGGGATGAGGAGAGACCCATTGTTGCATGTAGATGGCTGCTTGCAAGCTTTTAAGACCCCAGTCGCTGCTCACCAAAGTAGGCTGTAGAAAAATGTTTTTGTGTAGTATGTTATGCCAGTTGAGCTTGATGTCCCCTGTAACCATGGTCCCCAGCCCACACGTCCAACTACTCGCTCCCTCTGGGTAGCTGGCTTTGGCCAAGAAGCCACCACAACCTTGACCCTTGTCAGTTCTACTAAACACCTGGACATTCTTATAACACATACAAATAAGCATGTAGAAACATTGTCTGCTAACCCTGTACATGGTCATGGGTACACTGCCCCCTCTAATGCCTTTTTAATTTTTTAATTAAAGTTTTTATTTTCAGAAAAGTATAGATTCACATCCAGTTATAAGAAATAATATAGAGATACCCATATACTCTTTTACTCAGTTTCCCCCAATGTTGACATCTTGTAAAACTACATTATCTCAACCAGGATATTGACATGGATACAGTCAGATACAGAAGACTTCAATCATTGCAAGGATCCCTCATGTTGCCCTTTTATAGCCACACCTACCTCCTTCCCCTCACTCCCTCCTCAACTCCTGGTAATCATCAATCTGTTCTTTATCTCTGTAATTTTGTCATTTCAAGAATGTTACGTAAATGGATTCATACAATATGTAACTTTTGGGGATTGGCTTTTTTCCACTCAGCATAATTCTCTGGAGATTCATCCAGATTCTTACGTGTATCCACAGTTTGTTCCTTATTATTTCTGTATAACATTCTAAGATATGGATATACCATGGATTGTTTAACCATGCACCCACTGAAGATCACATTGGTCTCCAGTTTGGGGCTATTAGGAATACAGCTACAGTTATTCATGTACAATTATTTGTGTGAATGTAAGTCTTCATTTCTCTGATAAAGGTGCAGTAATTAGGTTGTATGATAGTTACAAATGTATTTTTTTCTTTTTTTTTTTTTAAAAAAAAAAGCTGCCAAACTTCTCCAGAGTGGGAATAATCTAGTTCCCTGTACATCCTTGCCAGCATTTAGTGTTATCACTAGTTTTATTTTAGCCATCTGCTAAAAAGGCAAGGAGGGCACATCTTCTGACGTCCTCTGTCCCCACAAGAGGAAGACAGAATCACCATCAGTAGCCCAAGGCCTATTCCTGCCAGGCCAGACATGCTGCCTCCCTCCGGCCCTTTCACCAACCCTGATACCAACCATTCCTCCCACAGCACTCACCTCCTTTCTACTGGGTTCAATAATTCATGGCAGTGGCCACACAGAACTCACAGATTATGGGGTTTATTAGGGAGGCACCAGGCTACAATTCAAGTTCAGGAAAATACTCAGTCTCTCTCAGACCACTGTCTCACAGCCAACAGTCTCTCACAGTCTCTTTCCCAGCAGTGCGTGTCCCTCAATGTCTCACTCAGCAATGCATGTCTCCTGCGTCTCTTTCCCAGCAGTGCATGTCTCTCAGGAGCACATGTTTCTTTCAGCAACATGTCCTTCTCAGCCAGCAGTCAGAGAGACTTCTTCTGCCCCTGGGAGGCCTCCTTTTGAGCCTGGCTGAGCGGCCAAACTAACCAACCATAACATCAGAATTCTAAGCACCTGAGAGAACGAACTTCCCAGAACATTACTTTGTGCTGCTCCCAACAGAAATACCCCAGATGGATGATTTTAACAATCAGAAGCTACTCAGTTTCTCACAGAAAATTCTGCCATGGAGTTTACAAAGATTTATGACTAGAAAAGCCATACCAGATAATTTACTACACTGCACCATCCTGATAGGTGTATAATGATATCCCATTGTGGTTTTAATTTTTCTTTAATTGCTAATGATGTTGAGGGAGCTCTGGTAAGATAGTGCCTGAGGCACTTGACTGCTAACCAGAAGGCTGGTGGTTCAAA